CATAGGGCTGGTCCAGACTGAAGCCAGGAGCGTGGAACACCATCCTGGTCTCCTGTGTGGGTGGCAGGGACCAAACACTTGGGCCATCTTCCACTTCTTTCCTAGGTGCAATAGCAGTGACTTGGCTAGAAATGGAGCAGCAGGGACTTGAACTGGTGCTCATTTGGGATGCTGGCATTGTGGGCAGTGACTTAATCCTGTGGACCACAGTGCTGGCCCTCGATTAGTCAGTATGAGTATAGCTTCTCTAACCCTCTTATGGTTAGTGTTTATATATAGTATACCACTTTATATTTCCTTTGTAAAACTGTATTTGTCTTTTTTTAATTTCACATGCAATTCTTTTAGAGTTGGGTCTTTTTTTTAAAGAAATGTGAAAATTTCTTCCTTGCAATTGATGATATTTAGGCAAGGAGAACCAACAATATGATTATGAATATAGATAAGTTTAAAATCATATTTGTTTTAAATTTTTTTCAATTAGTTTTATTTCTGTTTACCTCTGGGTTACTGAGTATTTTGAAAATTTATTTACTAACTTATTGAAGGATCAGAAAAAGAAAGAATGAATGAGCTCCCATCTGTTTGTTTACTCCCTAAATGCCTACAACAGCTGGGGCTATGCAGATGCCAAAATGTGAAGCTGGGAATTCCATCCAGTTCTTTAATATGTGTGGGAAGAACTCAGTTACTTGAGCCATCTTCTGCTACCTCCCAGATCTGCATTAGCAGAAACTAGAGTCAGGAGCTGGAACTGGGAATCAAACCCGAGCACTTCAACATGGGATAGGGGCATCTTAACCACCAGGCTTAATACCTTGTCTATAATTAAATGTTTTGAAAGTCCATTTTATCATTTTAGCTGGTAGCATTCATCTTTACATATACCAGCTCAAATAGAGCTATATAACTTTACAAAGAGTATTAAATCCTCATAGCAGTATGGTCCTATTTTTCTACTCCCAGTCTCTATACTGCTGTTATATATTTTACTTTATTCATGTTATAATGATACAAACATACTGGACTATTTTTTGTCTAAATAGTCTTTCAAAGGCATTTAAATAGAAGGAAATATCTTATATATTTACACACTTGACAACTAATTTCATTGTCCTAATTTGTTCTGTATAGATCCATATTTCTATCTGGGATCATTTCCTTTTTGCCTAAAGACCTCCTTTAAGATTTCTCTTTATATTGTGAGTCTGCTGGTGATAATTTCAGCTTTTGTGTTCTGGAAAAGCCCTTTATTTTTCTTTGAGAAACATGTTGCTAAGTACAGAATTCTGTGTTGACAGGTTTATTTGTTTTAACGTCAATACTTAAAGACGTTGTTCAACTCTCTCCCTATTTGTATTATTTTCAGCAAGAAATCTGCTGTCCCTGTCACCCACATCTGTTTCTCTTTGTGTAACGTGTCACCCCCTCCACCTACATGGACACATTTAAGGTTTTCTATTAAGTGCTTGTCTTGGGCAATATGATTATGTGTGTCTTGGTATACTTTTCATCATGTTTCTTTGCTTTAATTTTAATTAATTTATATAAGATTCATGTATTTTATTTATTTTAGGAGCACAGTGAGAACTCCCCCCCTTCTACCCAAGGAAGGTCCAACCCTTCTTCCCCTTCCCTCTCACATTCCCACTCTTAATATATTTAAAGATTTATTTTATTTATTTGAAAAACAGAGTCACAGAGAGAGGTAGAGAGAAAATGAGAAAGATACCTTCCATTTACTGGTTCACTACCCAGATGGCCGCTGCAGCTGGAGCTGAGCTGGTCCAGAGCCAGGAGCTTCTTCTGGGTCTTCCACGTGGTTGCAGGGCCACATGGACTTGGGCCATCCTCCACTGCTTTACAAGGCGAATTATCAGGAGATGGATCAGAAGTGCTGCAGCAGGGATTTGAGCTGGCATCCATATGGGATGGCAGTATTGCAGGCCAAGGCCTTAACCTTCTGTGCTATATTGCTAGCCTCCACCCACCCCCACACCCTTGATTTTTACAAAGATCCATTTTCAGTTTACTTAATGATTATATCTACACTAAATAAAAGAGTTCAACAAATAGTGTGAAGAAAACAAAACAAAACAAAACACAACACTGTTCCTCAATGGAACTGGAAGAGACAAGGGCTATAAACAATCATTGAATCTCAAAATGTCTCTTTCACTCGAATACATTACATTTCAGATACTCTATTAGTTACTTCAGATCAGGGAAACATATCTATTTTTGGGACTGGCTTATTTCATTAAGTATAATGGTTTCAGTTGCATCCATCTTGTTGCAAGAAGACAGGATTTCATTTTTTTTTTCCTACAGCTGGAAAGTACTCCATAGTGTATATATACCATAATTCTTTATCCAGTCAATCATTAGAGGACATCTGAGTTGATTCCATATCTTTGCTATTGTGAATAATGCTGCAATGAAAATGGGGGTACAGATAACTCATCTGCTGATTGCTTTTGGTAGGTATAGATTCAGATTTCTGAGGTATCTCCAGACTGTCTTCCACAGTGGCTGCACTAGTTTACATTCCCACCAATTGTGGACCAAGCTATCATTTTCCCCATATCATTCCTAGCATTTGTCATTTATTGATTTCTGTATGAGAGCCATTTTAACTGGAATAAGGTGAAACCTCACCATGCTTTTGATTTTGCATTTCCCTGATGGCTAGTGATCCTGAGCATTTTCTCATGTGTCTGTTAGCCATTTGGATTTGCTCTCTTGAAAAATGTCTGTTCAAGTCCTTTGCCCATTTCTTAACTGGATTGTTCTGTTGGATTTCTTGAGCTCTTTATAGATTCTTTATGTTAACTCTTTATCAGTTAGCTAGTTTGCAGATATTTTCTCCCATTCTGTTGGTTACCTCTTCATCTTGCTGAGTGTTTCTTTTTCAGTGCAGAAGCTTCTCAACTTAATGTAATCCCATTTGTAAATTTTGACTTTGATTGGCTGTGCCTCTGAGGTTTTTTATAAGAAGACTTCATCCATGCTAGTGCCTTACAGAGTTTCTCCATTGTTCTCTAATAATTTGATATATTTGGTCATAGATTTAGGTATTTGATCCATTTTGAGTCAATTTTTGTGTAAGATGTAAGGAATGGTTTTAGTTGCATACTTCTGTATGTAGAGATCCAGTTTCCCCAGTACCATTTATTAAAGAGAATTTCCTTGCTCCGGGGCTTGATTTAACTGCTTTCTCAAAGATAAATTGGTTGTAGATGCATGGATTGATTTCTGGAGTTTCAATTCTGTTACATTGGTCTACAAGTTTGGTTTTGTGGCATTCCCAGGCTGTTTTGATTATAATTGTCCTGCAGTATGCCCTCCAGCTTTGTTGTTGTATCACATTGCTTTAGCTATTTGTGGTGTCTTTTGTTTCCACATTCATTTTAGCATTTTTTCTAGGTCTGCAAAGAATGTCATTGGTATTTTTTTTTTTTTTTGACAGGCAGAGTTAGTGAGAGAGAGAGAGAGATGGAGAGAAAGGTCTTCCTTTCCCGTTGGTTCACCTCCCAAATGGCTGCCACGGCCAGCACGCTGTGGAAGGGGCACTGTACTGGTCCAAAGCCAGGAGCCATGTGCTTCCTCTTGATCTCCCATGCGGGTGCAGGGCCCAAGCACTTGGGCCATCCTCCACTGCCTTCCTGGGCCACAGCAGAGAGCTGGACTTGAAGAGGAGCAACTGGGACAGAATTTGGCACTCCAGTCGGGACTAGAACCTGGGGTGCCAGTGCCATAGGCAGAGGATTAGCCAAGTGAACCACTGCGCCAGCCTGTCATTGGTATTTTTATTGCAATTGAATTGAATCTGTAAATTACTTTTGATGATGTTGATTCTTCCAATATAGGAACATGGAAGATTTTTCCATTTTTTAATGCCTTCTTCTGTTTCTTTCTTTAGTGTTTTGTAATTTTAATCATAGAGATATTTGACATATTTGGTTAAATTTAATCCAAAGTATTATTTTTGGAGCTATTGTGAATGGGACTAATCTAAGAATTCTTCCTCAGCCATGACATTGTCTATATATACAAAGGCTATTGATTTTTGTGTGTTGATTTTATATCCTGCCACTTTACCAAACTCTTTTATGAGTTCCCATAGTCTCTCAGTGGAGTCTTTTGGATCCCCTATATATAGAATCATGTAATCTACAAATAGGGATAGTTTCATTTCCTGCTTTCCAAGTTCTGCCACTTTGATTTCTTTTTCTTGCCTAATAGCTCTGGTTAAAACTTCCAGAACTCTATTAAATAGCAGTGGTGAGAGTGGGTAACCTTGTCTGATTCTGGATCTTGGTGGAGATGCTTTCAGCTTTTCCCCATTCAATAGGATGCTGGCCGTGGGTTTGTCATAAGTTGCCTTATTCTGTTGAAGAATGTTCCTTCTATATTCATTTTGTTTAAGGTTCTTCAAAAAAGGATGTTGGATTTTATCGAATGCTTTCTCTGCACCTATTAAGATAATCATGTGGTTTTTGTTTTTCAATTTGTTAATGTTATGTATAACACTGATTTGCAAATGTTGAATCATCCCAACATACCAGGGATAAATCCCAGTTGGTCCAGGTGAGTGATCCTACTGATGTATTGTTGGATTCAATTAGCTAATATTTTGTTAAGAATTTTTACATCAATATTCATTAGGGATATTGGTCTGTAACTCTTTCTCTGTTGTATCTTTTTCAGGTTATGGAATTAAGGTGATACAGGCTTCATAGAAGGAGATTGGGAGGATTCCTCCCTTTCAATTGTTTTTGAATAGCTTGAGAAAAAATGGAAATTTTTCTTCTTTAAAAATCTAGTAGAATTCATCAGTGAAGCTGTCTGGTCCTGGGCTTTTATTTGTTGGGAGGGTCTTTATTACTGAATCAATTTCTATTTTGTTCATTGGTCTAGTTAGGTTTTTCTATGTCTTCAGGAATCATTTTTGTAGATTGTGTGCATCTAGGAATCTATTCATTTCATCTAGTTTTCCCAAATTGTTGACATACAGCTATCTGTGTGTCATCATTGCACGGGGACAATGCTAATCTTTTCTGTAGGATTTCAATTTTAGTATATGTTTTGCCAAAGCAAGCACTCATCTTGTTTCTTGTGCTTGATATTCAATGGGATTCTTGGTTCTATGGACTCACAGTTTTCCTCAAATTTGGGAAAATTTCAGACATTTTTTCCTTACCTTCCCTTTTGGCAATTCCAATGATGCATACAAGGAGAAATCAAAAATGAAATTAGGTAAGTTTATTTTGGTACAAGAATGTTTTCAAATTTATGCAGTTTTTTTTCTTAATATGCATCTTCTATGGATTTTTCATTATTTATTTTTAATAAATAATGTGTTTTACCTTGATGAATGTGATTGTTATATGTTAAGAATCATCAATTTTTTCTTCTTCATTTTCTAATCTTCTATTATTCACACCCATTATAATTTTCATCAGAGATATTATACTTTTCACCTGCAAAATTTTGATTAGAATTTCTTTGTAGGTTTCATGCCTCCAATTGCCTTTTTGAATGTATGAATTCCTATTAAAATAGCCATTTCATGTCATCTGATCATTCTAATATATGTGCAAAGTCTGTATAAATTTCTGTTAACTGAGGATTTTCTTTATTGTGGGTATTTTCCTGCTTCTTTGCGTGATTCATGCATTTGATTTGAAAATGATCATGGTGAATTCTACATTATTGGCTAGTGAACAACAGAAGTTTTCAATATGTCTGGTGTGAACAGGCACTATTGCAGACCCTCTCTGAATTGTTGCCTTAACTACTTTTAGGGGATACTTTCTGCAGCCTTGATGGTTTACTTATATATACGTACTGAATAGAACTCTACTGAGTAGCTACATATTAGAATAGTCAAGTTTCCAAATCCCTTAGATTTCTCTAGATGATTTAAAGGATTATTAAGACATTTTATTACTTGTAGTAATTACTGGTGAGTTAGTAATGTCTTAGATGGTCTGGATAGAGAGCACAGATGCCAGGCCCTCCACCCGTGGTCATTTGTATTCACTAATTTATACTGAGATGTAAGATTTCATGAATAAGATAAGAGTTAGACTTAACTATCAATGAAATGCAAGGGTATATTAACATATGATATTAACTAGTGAAACTTTAATGGAAGGCTTTTCTGGAAATGAAACAGGACATTTGGAAAAGATGTCAAAACAAAAGAAGACTGAACTAGTAAATCAGACAAAGTGGAGTGAAGGAACAAAGGAGTATTTACTCTAGCATACCTAGGTGGCTGACACCCAAACTCAACCCAAGGTAGTGAAAAAAGACTTGAAAAGTGAATTACAGGAGATAATAGTAATATACTCATCCATATAAAGGTTGAAATAACTGAACTGAATTTGTACATATTTGCTGGATCCACATAAGGAACATAAAAGAGAACCATCATTTGGCTCCTCACCATATCATCCTTGCTTAAATGAGTGGAGAACTATATTATAATGCTCCAGTCATTGGCTTGATCCAGCAGCAGGACATGGCAAGCGGTTCCAGGGTCTGCAATGTGTGCCAGAAAGAATAGAGGCAAGGATCATTGGCTCACCAGTTATAGCCACCACTTATGGTAGCATTATCAATGGTCATATAGTGCTGGTGGGTACACTGGTGACAGTGGTGGTGATCTACCACCCACCAAACCAGTGGCATGACTAGAGATCTAGATGCAGAATAGCTCTGTGGGACTAATCCTGGGCTGCAAAGCTGTGATTTTACTAGCTGTGTTGGTGATAGTTATTGATAACTGCTACAAAGTTTGCAATACTGTTGTCTAATTAAAGGACTTACTCCCATCTACCTTCTACCACTATCAGTTAAGCATGATGCAGAAAAAAGGTTTCTTCTTACGTGAAATAGCAGTGGTGAGGACATTTGATATCCCAGTATGGCAGTGGCAACAGTAGAGTTGGCAGATAGAATTCCAGTCTTGAATAGATCTTTAGTAGTAAATGTAGTACCTGTGCTGCCTGATCTGTTCTAGGAAGCAATCATACTCAGTAGCCATCAAGCCAGATTCACAAATACATTTCCACACTGCTGGAGAGTCTCAGAAATATTGGAGTAAGGGAACTTTGCAAAAATATCAAACCTTCAGCACATGGGGGATTGTAGCACTGAGATTTGAATGCAATCATTAATGGCAATTTGCTGTAATGTGCCCCAATAAAGTTAGTGACAATGCTTAAATATTGAGCTATATAATTATATAATGAGATAATATGGTAAATTTGATAAATCTTGATTGAGACCTGTTTTATACAAGGCATTGTGATAGGCCTCATAAAGGACTAATGTGTTAATTCATGGTCCTTGTCTGAGAAAAGATGCGTAAAATTTCATAGATGGGACTAGGTGTGTACAAAATGTCCACAGTATAAGATAGAGTGCAAAACAAAATTAATTTTTTTGTTTGCTTCTGAATACCATGTGCTGGCATTTAGTTAGATCCTCAGGATTTGGTTTCAAGAAGATAAGCCATCTGAGAAGTTCAAAGTACCAGAAGGAAGCAATTCTTTCCATTTGTCTGGTTCAGGAATACTTTGGGGTGATAGGTGGGATTTGAGCCAGTACTTGAATAGTAGACAGAATTTTGAATACTACCAATGAAGAAATGAAAGAATTTATGGAGAAGAAACTGTGAAGGCATGAAGTAAAAAAGAGGCTGGCGCTCCTGCTCAATAGGCTAATCCTCCGCTTGCGGCACCGGCACACGGGGTTCTAGTCCTGGTCGGGGCGCCGGATTCTGTTCCGGTCATTCCTCTTCCAGGCCAGCTCTCTTCTGTGGCCCGGGAAGGCAGTGGAGGATGGCCCTGCACCCGCATGGGAGACCAGGAGAAACACCTGACTCCTGCCTTCGGATCAGCGTGGTGCGCCGGCCGCAGCGGCCATTGGAGGGTGAACCAACGGCAAAAAGGAAGACCTTTCTCTCTCTCTCTCTCTCTCTCTCACTATCCACTCTGCCTGAAAAAAATAAAAAAAAAGAAAAGAAATAAAACACTAAAAAAAACCCATTGTTTAAAAAAAATGAAGTAAAAAAGGGTAGGCATTCTGTAAGTTTAATAGATGACTATGTGATTATGGGAAGTTGTTGAATGCCAGGTAGAAATGTACAGTGAGGCGCATAAAGAATATTTCATTGATTAAGACAATAAGCAGCCATAGACTATTTTAAACAGAAGAATGATTGAATTATCAGACTCTACTTTTTTCCCCCCTAGTTCTACAAGAGTAGACCTACTTAATTTTCTCCTTGATAACAAAACTCTGCACAAGTTCTCACCAGGCTAAATAAAGTGCATGGCATATCTAAACTCAGCATCTCTATTCCTAAGTCCAGCGGAGTTCAGCATTGATCATACTTCCTGATCCCTGCAAGTTACCTGTAATTCTAACTTTGTATTTCTGATGCTTCACATTGGGAACCTGATGATTGCTTTTGGAAACACAAGTGCTGTCGATGACCTGCATCCTGAGTCTGCCATGGACATTGTGATTTTTCCAGTGGACTATAAACTCTGATTTTTTCATTAACTGTGGTAACTCTGACTTGATTTTGGTGCCTGTCAACATGCTAGTTTCCATTTTTCCTTTCTCTTTTATCCATTTTATTTGGTAAGGAATAATTCATTTTAGGGCAGATTCATCTAATCTGAAAATAATAAGAAATATTTATTTGGCAAAACTGTAGGAGGTAGTTTGATATAAACATAGACAGAAGGAATCTAATAAAGACATCTAAGCTGAAGGCAATGGGGTCTGAACTGAAGAAGCATCTAGGAGAAGAAAAATATGGAAAGGAACAGCATATAAAGACACTGGCACAGAGTAACACTATTACTGAATTAATAAAAAGAAATGAGAGATTTGTGGAGGGAGGATGGTTCAGGATTCGGTAACAAGGTGCAGATGATGGTGAGAGAAAATTTATAAGTGACTTGAAGTTCTTATTTGAATGACTAGAAGAGGAATGATGTGATCCGACCACAACTCCCCTCAATACCTGACTCAGAAAACTTGAATTTGAGAGCCATGTAATTGGACTTGGATTGAACCACTCTGAATAAACAAAGTAACTAGAAAGTTTGTAATTGGGCTTAATCATACATTGTTTCAAATAGTCTAAAGAATATGCATCTATATGCATGAGAAAAATTGGCATATATATTGATTTGGGAGTCTTACATTTTGGTGGAATATTTAAAGTAATTGTGGTACAAGGGATAGTGTATAATAAGAAAAAAAAACTGAAGGCAAGTCTCTAGAGCATATCTGCTTTTGGTCATACTTAAGAAGTATCTATACCCCTGCTTTCTCTCTATATATAAATATTTTTTTAAAGAGTTACAGAGGGAGAGGGGAGAGGGAGAGAGGGAGGGAGGTAGGGAGGGAGAGAGAAAGAGGGAGAGAGAGACATATGGCTGTGATGCCCAGTGCTCAACCAGGCTGAAGCCAAGAGCCAGGAGCTTTATCTGGGTCTCCCACATGGGTGGCAGGGGCTTAAATACTTGGGCTATCTTTTGTTGCTTTTTCCAGGCCATTAAAGGGAGCTAGATCAGAAGTAGAGCAGCTGGGACATGAACTGGTGCCCATATGGTTTGCCAGCATCACAGGCGACAGTATTACCTGCTATGCCATAACACTGGCTCCCAGACCCCTTCTCTTTTGTTTTCTCCAACATACCTCACTGCTTCTCAGGTTCTGTTGTAACAGATCTTGCTGAACCTTTATAACCAAAGTTAATCAACAGCAACATAGATTCCCTTCTCCTTGAAAGCCAGGAGCACGTAACTTTAAATTTACACTTCTGCAACAAAGGAAGGAAGAAAAGTTAAGTTTATATATCAAAATGTTGAATCTTGTAGCTTCATAATCTGCTATAGTACACTGTCCTAAAAATGGATAATGGTGGTATTGTATCTTCATGTTCTGTGAAAGCTGATGCATTTCAGAAAGGTTCTATTGCATGCACTAAGAGCTACATAGCTGGAAAAATTTTCTACAAAGGTTTACTCAATTGAGCAAAGAACACAAAGAAAATGAAATCTTCCTTTTG